TATTGATGATGATGATGATGATGATGATGATGATGATGATGATGATGATGATGATGATGGTGATGATGATGGTGATGATGGTGGTGGTGGTGATTATGATGATGGTGATGATGATGATGATGATGGTGGTGGTGATGATGGTGATGATGATGATGATGATTATTATTGATGATGATGATGATGATGATGATGATGATGATGGTGATGATGGTGATGATGATGGTGATGATGATGGTGGTGATGATGGTGATGATGATGTTGGTGGTGATGATGATATGATGGTGATGATGATGGTGATGATAATGATGATGATGGTGATGATGGTGACCATGTTTTTTCGTTAATATAGTGAGTGAAGCAGAAAAACAGAGAACAGAACAAGAATTCCGAAGCCATAAAGCAAACATGGTTCCCCAACGTAAGTTTGTTTCAATTTATCGTTTATTCATATACGTCAATAACTCAACCAGTTCCAAACTCTGACAAAGATTACTCTCAACTTCTAGTAACAGCACAAAATGGTCAAAGTCAGGTTCCTCAAGCCTCGGATGAACAGGATGGCAGGAAGATACCGCTGTCCCCAAGAACATCACCTGCGGGCACAGAAACTGAAGTACAGACTGAAGATGTATGTGCATTTCGTATCATTTCTAAAACTATGTTTAACGAGCGTACATGTTGTATCTGGGCGATTATTAAGGCAACTGTATAGATTACAGTGATAAGCCAAGTTTTGAAATCCAACAAACGTCATTTTTCTTTTTCAGTATCAAACTTCGCTCAAGCCAGAGCGAGTTTCCAATATTCAACGTGTTTATAAAGTTGTCTTCGTGGGAGACTCGGGCGTAGGAAAGTCGAGTTTCATCCACAGATACTGTTACGAAATATGGAAGCCGTCATATACCGCGACGATAGGTACGTATTCGTATGACTTGCATTGGCACAATTGGTTATTGTTTGTCTTTCGCTCGCCTCTGTGACCGAGGTTTGATTAACACTGGGTCAATAAGAGATGATCCTTACTGGACCTCTAGGGAGAACAGTTTAGAACTGATAGAGCTATCCAGTATAAATAAAGTTAGTTTAGTTTAGGTTTCCACCTGTAATAACACTGGATCAATAAGAGATGATCCTTACTGGACCTCTAGGGAGAACAGTTTAGAACTGATAGAGCTATCCAGTATAAATAAAGTTAGTTCAGTTTAGGTTTCCACCTGTAATAACACTGGATCAATAAGAGATGATCCTTACTGGACCTCTAGGGAGAACAGTTTAGAACTGATAGAGCTATCCAGTATAAATAAAGTTAGTTTAGTTT